GCTAAGCCCCCTCTTCCAAGCCTCCCCCACCGCGAGCTCCACGCCGCGAGGCACACCAAGTGAGCTGTTTACCATCGACGTCAAAAACCCAACAACGGCCGCGACAGATTGCCACGTCCCCACGTGCTTCCTCCTGCGTCATCCGCGTCGAGCCGACGGACGGACGGGAGGACGGACAAACAGACGAGCGGGCAGGCGTAGAGCAGTCGGCAGAAACAAGGCGGGAGCGAACCGAACGGGCATAGGCATAAAGTGTATAGTAACGAGTGTGAAGAAGGTGGACGAACTGCCCCACCCGTAGCGCGGCGCGGGTCAACCTCAGGTCAGGGGTCAGGTCGGCCCCCGACCGACCACCGCGGGGCCCACGAGGCCACCACGCCGACGAGACGACACGGCGGGCAGTAAAGGCTTATTGTGTAATTGTCTCCGATAGCCCCACCCTACCGCACCCCGCCGCACCACGCCACGCCACGCGGCCGCCCCACCACGCCACCCATCCCACCCTTCCCCCGCCGCCGCTGCTGCTGCCACCCGGGCCGCACGGGCTCGCGTCCGCTAGGTGGTGTTAATAAGGCGGAGACTCGTCACGCGCCCCATCGCGACCGCGGTCCATCGGAAACTAGTCCACGCGTGCGTGCCTGCGGTCACGACGACCGTCCCCCCTGCCGCCGTCCTGGCCCCTCCTCGCCAGACAAACACGCTCTTATAAATGTGCTGCCAGGAATTGGGTTAAACACGCCGAAAACCTCCGCGCGCGCGGGTCAAGTCACTAAAAAAGCTCGCAACGCTTCCGAAGAAAATAAAAATGAAAACAAAACTGGCGGGGTGGCAAATTGGAAGTTCATCACCACCGCACGCGTTCCTCATAGCATGCACTAATTTTAGGCCGCGCCACGTGATATTTTTTTCTATTTCGCGGGATGAGCTGAGTGGCGAGGACGGCGAAGAGACTAGCGTGGCAAAGGTACACGTGGCGCCCACCACACGGCTCACACACTCACTCACGTACCTGCGAGTCCCGCCCAGCCACGGCCCGGGCCGTCCGGCAGGAGGAGACCAGGGGCATCGAACAACGTGGCGTGGCATCGCGATGCCCGCGGGAGGTGGGGGG